ACACTCAGGTGGAGGAGGACAGCTGTAATCTGTCCTCAGTTCATCTCAGACCTCTAGTGGCAACTCTGAACCACTTCAGAGTCCTCTGGAGCAGTCTTAATTTTTCTTGAGAGTAAGAGTGATTCTCAGACTTAAGGATTTTGATAACTGACACTTAAACTTAAGTCTGAGAGTTGGAGCAAATCTAAGAATTTTTCAGCAGTTAAGTCTAAAAATCCACTCTAAGAAGTTTGACAAATACGGGCCCTGATCTACACGCCACTTCATGATTTTACCTGCATTTGTCCAGTGGCGGGTTCTAATTTCCACCCCTGACTTTTCTGTGCAGGTCCATCAGATGATGACTCAGCAGCAGAACCATCCCACCCAGAACCCCCGCTCCGACCCGCCCTCCCCCTCCTACACCGGCTACCTGAGCTTCCCGCGCCACCGGGTCGTGGCGTTCCAGCCCGACCGCGTGTGCCTCCTGGAGTCGGACTCCGGCAAGCGGACGGCGGTCCGGGTCTCCAAGGCGCTGGTTCTGATCGGCGCCCACCCGAACCTGTCCTTCCTGCACGACGCGGGGCGCTCGCTGGGCATCAACCCGGACGAGCCCATCTCGTGCCGGAGGAACCCCGTGGACGTGGACCCGTTCACCAACCGGGTGCTGGCGGCGGACGGGCCCGGCCTGTACGCCATGGGCCCGCTGGTCGGGGAGAACTTTGTCCGCTTCCTGAAGGGCGGGGCTCTGGCCATCGCCAGCGACCTCTCGAAGGGGCGGAGCCGTCGACACGAACAGATGGACCAATCAGAGAGGAGCTGAGGTTCTGGGCTCTGGAGAGGAACGGACCTTTATCTAATCGAAACCCCCGAGTCCAGACCAGGAGAGGCGCTGCGTTGGGCCAGCAACATGAGCTCTTTAAACCGGTTCTGGTTCTGGTTCTGGTGTGTCTGAGAGAAATCAGCCGAATGTTTGCTGGAGAATTAAGGAGGGAGAAACGGTGYGTTCAGGTCCCCTCGTTAATTTAAGCTCCTAGAACCTGAAGGTGCTGTTAGAACCCGACTTGCAGCTGCACGTATTTAATACTATTTAATAAATTTACAGCTGAGTTCAGTTGTTCTGTTAAAATTCAACGAGCAGCTTTTTAAACTGATGTTTCTGAGATTTCCTCCAGTTTTTCATCAGTTTTTGGTGAAATTTTGTTCAAAGCGACACTAAAACAGAAAATCGAACTCGAAGCTCATTTATTCATGTTTGATCTTGTTTTTATTCTTTATTTATGTTTGTTTTGACTTTTTGATTATGTTGTCATTTTTGTACATGTTTTTAAACCCTTTTTAATTACCGTAATTTATAAACAAAATGAGTAAAAAACTATAACTCTAATTTCACTCTTTGTGCCTTTTTTGAGTTTTGTCCAAATTGAATTTAGTCTGATTTTTCTTAAATTGACTATAAAATTCTTTAAAAACCAACATTTGTAAACATCTAATTTGTAAACATAAGTTCATAAAGTTTAGATAAGATTATTTAAAAT